GGGAGAGGGAGGATGACATGTGTGGCCCACTTTTGTTTTTGTCGTGTAAGCGCACAGTCAGCATGACTGGACCAGGTTAACATACCACATCAGTGAAACCAGATATCTATACTGCTGAAGGACATAATTTAACCCAGTTGTGGAAGTTGAGGGCTCAAGATTTTTGATATTGCTATTTAGGGATGTGATTCAAACTTGACATCAAGATGAGAGGTCTTCAGTGAACTTATACCAAACAGTAACATGGATTGCTCGCCCACCTTATTTGGGTCAGAACGAATGGCGGCCCACGAGCGGGCTCATTTAGTTGGGCTAGGTCGGTATTTTGTCTTGACGTATCGTTCTACTTACGCTGGGCCAGATCGTGACCGTGAATTATGCGGCCCATTCTAGTCGGGCTGGCCATGAATTCCGGCCGAATATACGGTCGGTCCAATCAATAAGCCGTGATACGGTAGCACACCCGTTTTAGTTGGGCTGGTTGTGAATTATGGCCGAACATAGTGGGCCCAGTTGTATGCCACGATACTGTAGCTCGCCTGTCTAGCTGGATTGGGGTGGGCCCAAGGGTTTTGGGTCAACAACTTCAAGTCGGAGTCGGACTCCGCATCAGACCTAACCTGACCTGACCTGCCGGCGATAAATAGGCTCCCCCATCGTGTCGGCGCCAAATCCTTCCTCTCCTCCTGCTTTCAGTAAACACACTGTTTTCATTGTTTTCCGAAGGCTCCTGACAAGGTTAAGAACAAGAAAACCTTTTCTTTTTTTTTTGGAATACGCGAGACGCGCATTTTTGTATTAAGAAGGAATAAATGTATTTACAGGAGGGCCAAACAGTTTAAAAGAGAAGGGGACATGGTACAGGAGGGGGAATAAAAACAGAAATCCTAATCTCCTAAGAAATTTTGGCGACATGTCAACCAAAGAAGGAACTACCATGGCCGATATGGCTGCCCTAGCCATCCGCCAAAGGTCCGCTTCCCCTGACATAGCCCTGGCAATCTCCGGCCAGGTCCTGCTCTCTTGGTTAAAGACCCGATTGTTTCTTTCTTCCAAATTGTCCAAGCTACCAGCGTGGCGATGGTGTCGAACCCTCGGCGATGATCCTTGATCATCTTCTTGCGGCTGTCACACATCTAGACATGGAAGGAATGCTCATTGAGTGGAAGGCATTCGGCATGGCCGATAGCACTAAGAGCGATCCACCAAAGTTGCTGCGATTCCGGGCAAGCGACCAAGAGATGATCAATTGTTTCGACACATTGATCACAGAGTGGGCAGCGGTCTGGGTGAGGCAAACCGCGACTTTGGGGGCGGTCCACCGTCCAGCATCGGTTCAACGCGACCAGCCAAAGGAAGTAACGGCATCAATGGGGCGCGAAGGACTTCCAAATTGGCGCGTGTTGGAAGCGAGTTCTTCCAAAGAAGAGGACACGATAGGCCGAACGGGAGGAGTACTGTCACGAGTTCTCCCACCGCCAAGATAGCTTGTCTGGCTCCTCCGTCAGCTGCACAGGTCGAAGGAGGTCCCATAGATTGAAGTACTCAAGGATCGCCTGTACCCCCAGCGCCATGGAGATATCTCGGATCCATCTCCTGTCTTGCAGCGCATCCGCTACCGTGCGCTTGCTCCGTAGTCGGCTTGGGACAGCCGCCAAGACTGCCGGTGCTAGCGACCGAATGGAAGCGCCATTCAGCCAGCAATCTTCCTAGAACAACACCGAGTGTCCGTCTCCCACCGAGCACACCAAAGAGATTGAGACAAGGTTGCGTTCCTTTTGCGAGATTGGGATATTAAGTCCCTGCCAGGGCTTTCCCGGAGAAGTTAGCTGCTGCCAGAGCCAACGCGACCGCAGTGCCAACCCCATCCTCTCGAGGTCGGAGAAGCCCAACCCACCATATTCCTTCGGAGAGCATACCCAGGCCCAAGCAACCCGGCAGGCACTGCCGCTTACTGAGGCCTTGCCCGCCCATAGGAAGCCACGGCGGATCTTATCGATTCCTTTTATTACCCACTTCGGTGCATTGATCGCCATTATCAAATACAATAAGAAAACCTATCCTTATCAAATACAAAATCTTGACATGTTCCGAAATTGAAGGAACACATGCTTAACATCAAATCTATATATTCTCTAAGAAGTACTCTGTTTCATTAAAATCATATACTACATGCAGTACTCTGTTTTTCACCTTCAGTTACATGATTTTCAGTAGTAAACAATACTCTGTTTTCCCTCCAGAACTAATGCTGTGTCCTTCAGGATTATTCCCCATCGATAAGAGAAACCTATTCTCATCGAACACAACATCCCAACATATTAATGAAACTGAATGAACACATGGTCAAGATCAAATCTATATATTCTTGATGAGATACTCTGTTAAAAATTTAAACCAAATGTACTCTGCTTTTCCCCTTCAGTCTGATTGTCTTCTGAAGTAAACATGACATAGGTAAAAATCCTTCAGAAGTTCATGAATTGGCACCTCGAGGCTCCACATAGCATTTTCCAATTCTGAATTTTGGGTCCTGACAAGGGTATAATATCAGAAGGCTACCGACAATGTTGAGAACATAAAAGAAAAACTATTTTTATCGTATGTCGACACATATTCTTGAAACTATATATTACCCTTCAATTTCATTATCTTCAGAGGTAAGCAATAATCTGTTTTCGTCCCATTCAGTTACCTCAGTCTACCTAAGTTTACTCACCGTGGATAAAATCCTTCAGAACTTTAGGATAGCACTTCAGAAGTTCCTTATCCTTTTGGCCGTCAGATGTCCTTGCAGTGAAATAGCTGAACCGGCAAATTGCCTGCATATGCTTCCCTCTATATTTCAAAAAAGTTTCTGAACTGCTCTGAATACTGATGACCCTGAATGATTTCCATCTGTGAAATTAGGGTCCGGACAAGGGTAAAACACCGGAAGGCTGCTCACAATGCTGAGAGCAAGAAACTTATTCTCATCATACACAACATCTCAACATATTTTTGAACTAAATGAAGTGCCTCTCATCATCAAATCTATATGTTCTTCAGACATACCCTGTAAACGGAAAAAACCATCAACTATACTATCTGCTTTTCCCCCTTCAGTTTGAATGCCGTCAGAAATCAGAAGCAAACAGAATATGGGTAAAAATCCTTCCGAAGTTCATGAATTGGCACCTCGAGGCTGCACATTTCATTTTCAAAATCACCACGACTCCACGAGCAACAAGAATACATAGCATCAGTTATAGTTCAAATTTCTGGTCGAATTTGGAAACTAATCCAATCAAGTTCCAAAATCTAAGTCCCATTTCGTTAAACCCTCAACCGTTGCTCCGAAGCTCGCGCGGGGCACGCGTGCAGACAACGCTGTGTCGCGCTGACGTCATCGCCTCTATAAATTCAAATCCCGCATTGCTGAGACGATCCACACGCACACTTCCCTCGTCTCCTCTCAGCCTCTCACCCACGCGCCCTCGCTTCCTTTCCTCCTAAACCCTAGAAATCCTCAGGCGATCGGATGGCGATGGCGGCGGCTGCGGCTGGCGCGGATGGGCTCCTCCCGGGTCCCAAGCTTGATCCTAGCGACGACGAGCTCGTCGGCGGCTACCTGCTCCGGCGCCTCCAGGGCCAGCCCCTCCCGCTCGAGGCGGATCCCCTGAGCGCGCGGCCGCGGAATCTTGCCGCGGATCACGGCCGCGGCGACGAGGCCTTCTTCTTGGCGGAGGCGCAGGCCAAGAACGCGAAGGGAAAGCGGCAGAGGAGCACCGTCGAGGGGCAGAGCATGTGCGTGGACGGCGGGAGGCTCCGCGTCCCTGATGACGGTCGCGGCGGCGGCGGATTGGCTTTCTCGCACTTCTTGCCGCTGTCGCCGTCGATCGTTCCCTCGCCAGCACCGTCTCCCCGCTGCTCCACCTCCACGCCGCTGTCCCCGCCGAAGCTTCTCGCGGATCACGGCCGGGGCGACGAGGCCGCCTTCTTCGCGGACGCGTGGGCCAAGAACGGCAAGCGGCAGAAGCAGAGGAGCACCGTCGAGGGCGGAGGGCTCTGGCAGGGGCAGGGGATGCTCGTGGACGGCGAGAGGCTCCGCGTCGCTGATGACGGCGGCGGCGGTTCGGCTTTCTTGCCGCCGTCGATCCTTCCGTCGCTGCTGCCGGCTCCCCGCTGCTCCACGCCGCTCTCCCCGTCCTCGCCGCCGTTCCGGCCGTCCAGGGTGATCGTTCGGTGGGCGCGGCCGCCGCCTGGGTGGTGCAAACTGAACTTTGACGGCTCGGTGTTCAACGACGGCTCCCCGCGAGCGAGCATCGGCGGCGTCATCCGCGACAGCGACGCCGGCGTGGTGCTCGCCTTCGCGGAGACAACGGAGCACTGGACCGTCGGCGTGGTGGAGGCCCGTGCTATGATCAGAGGCCTGAGGTTCGCGCTGGCGTGCTTCATCGAGCGGCTCGTGGTGGAGGGCGACGACCTGGTGCTGGTCCAGCTCATCCGCGGCGAGGAGACGCAGACGAGGATCCCGGCGGCGATGCAGGAGGAGATCCTCAACCTTCTGCGATGCTTCGCCGAGGTGGATGTGCGGCACATCTACCGGGAGGGAAACTCGGTGGCCCACACACTGTGCCGGCAGGCGTACGTGTGTCCGGGCATATGGTCGCAGAGGGGAGGAGGGATGCCGGCGGCCGTCTGGGACAAGGTGGATGATGATAGGCGAGGGGTGGTGCACGAGCGCATCCGCAAGAACAAGTAGAAGTGAAGAGCAAGAAGGGCGCCAATTCGAGTCAGAGATGCTGATCAAGTCGAAGACTTGTCCTCTCCTCTGTGTTTATTGTATAGATTTGTAGTCGTACGATTATTAGTGTAATTATTATAGATGTAAAGCTAATTATTCATTGTAGGAATAGATAATTGTTAATTTATAACACTGATGTATTTAATCATTTATTTTACAATAAATAAAAGAATCAAGTTTTTTTTTTTAATGTGTGGTCTTTTCCTTGCTGTGACTTGTGCGTGTGAGCTGCGACTGCGAGCTTGTGGTCGTCGACGTTGTCAATGCAGTGGTGTGCTCTCTCGGATCTTGCTGCCATGGAAGTTGGGCCTGTATGCGGATTACTGGGCTGGCCCTAGGCCCACTCGGCTCGGCTGCAGCGCATACACCAAGGGGGGGATCGATCAAGAACAGAACACTCGTCTCCCTCCTCCTTCATCCTTGGGGTGTGCTGTGTTGTGAGCTGTGCGTGTGAGTTGCGGTTGTCGTGGATGCGGTCGTGTTTGGTGTTGTCAGGTGAGAGCAGTTGGGGATTGGATTTTGTGGCGACCGCGCGTTGGCTCTGCGGCGTGCAAAGATGCCACCACGGCGGTTTTCCTCTCTTCTGTTTCTTGGTTTATTGCGTCGATCTCTTCCTTGATCGTGCTCCTGCTCTTGCCGCCGGCCAATTATCTGTCGCCGCATTCTGCTCCTCTCTGCCCATGCACCATCTTGCCATCTAGGGATGCGTCCTCATCTCCATTGAGTTTGGGTGCACGGGAGGTGTTTGCTGTATTGCCTAAGCGAGTATACTGTGCTTATTCATTCATTTGACACTGTTTTGGGACCTATGAATGAACGGCCTTCCAGTGTCGTAGTGGGGCTCGACTCAGTGTGCGGCGATTACGGTGAAGTCAGGCCGCAGCGCTAGGTTTGTCTGCCCTTGGCAGTCGTTCACACAAAGCGAGGGGCGCCAATTACGGTGGTGCTGGCTTTGCAATAGCGCTACTAAGGCGAAAAGCTAAAGGGAGCGCAGAGGGATCAGCTGTCGAAGCATCTCAGAGGGATCTCTGGTTGCAGCGGTAGCGTGCTCGGTGCCGTCCAGACTCAACGTGGTGTGGCAAAGAGGTTTGCTCAAACTGACACTGTGGCGCACAGCAAGACGGGCACTGGATCAGCACTAGAGCAGATACTTGTAGTTTCATGCTGGTTTTACCATCAATGGTGCCACTATTCCTCCATCGAAATGAAGGTAAGCATGGGTTGCATAGATTATGCAGTGAATTTGAATCCACCTTGCTTTTCTAGTTTTCTTTTTTGCTGTCATAGCTGGAGATGAACAAGGTGATGCGCCAGTGGAAGTAACCCATGGAGATGAACAAGGAGAGGGAGGAATTGCTAATTCTTCTGGTTCCATTGTTCTTGAACACGGTATATCTTAGATCCTTGTTTTGAAATATGAAATTGTATTAGCACTTGTTCTGAAATCTGAATCTTTTATTCTTAAATCTGAAATCTGAGACTGTACAAGTGCTTGTTCTAAAATATGAAATTTTACTAGCACTTGTTCTGAAATTGATGGTTAGCCATTTTGTTTTCTAGAAGGTGCAACTGATCAAGATGAGGCTAGAGGTATTGTCTGATTGCTACAGTGGTTACAGATTTTGTGCAGAAGTTAAGCTGAAACTCTAGTTCAAAATGAGTACTGCAGTATTGTTAGTTCAAGTTCTCAACTTTTGGAGTTATGGATATATTAGTATAATTTGGTTTTTCTCTATTTGATTTTACTGTTCTAGGAAGTTGTCACCGTTTGTTTCCAATAAACTGTCCCTACTTCAGAGTAGCAGTCATGCTACCTATCTTGTTTATCTTGGTTTACAGAGGCAGGCAAGCTGGCAATTTATAGTACCAGTCCATGAATGGTCAGATATTTTTCTCCAAAACAAAGTTATACAAGGAGTACATGAATGAATATTCAGACAGATACTTTTCCCTAAAAGATAGATAGTTTTACAAGTACATGAATTAACCAAATTTTGTCTAATTGCTACAGTACTTAAGAATTTGTATAATTCAGTTTGAGCACTTTAGTTTCAGATGGAGTAATGTAGTTCCAGTTCTTAACTTTCAAGTTATGAATGTAATCTGAATATAATTGGTTTTCACTAGTTGATTTTATTGAATTGAAATTGGCAAGTAACTGAAGTTAAGTTGTCCAGTTCTGAATTGTTCATGTGAGAATCTGCCCCATCAGGAAGAGTAAAAAGTGATCTCTTCTAGTGTTTGACTGATGAATAAATTTGGCAGAAGTGGTAGAATCCAAAATTTGGTATGTACAGTAGTATCAAGAGACCACAACTTCGATCAATTTTTAAGGGACAAGGCGATAGAGATTCACCTCTTGATCTCTTAATTTTTTGATTTTTTTTATAATTTATCTATGATGCTAATGCAAAAAGATTTGTGTAAGCTTATTGATTTATTCAGAGGAACAACAATTCGTCCTCCAGGAAATTGAAGTTCAATTTTTTTTCTAAATAGAAAGCACAGTGTTTGGCATCGTGTGCAGATGGTTCCCTCAGCTGTTCTTTTCAAAAGCAAAGATGCATCAGTGTAATATTGCATGGATGGAGATGCCCTACAAATCAAGTTTCATTTGCCCGTCACCTTATAAGCCTCTAATTTTATATTATCTTGCTGTTGTTTATCCTCATCGTACACTAGCCCTTTCAGCGATGACAAGGTGTGTTGAAAGTCAAAGTCATAGATTCCATGGTTCTAGAGATAATTATCATAATTTTGGTCATTTGATCATGGCAACTCTATTCTTAAATCTGAAATCTGAGACTGCACCAGTGCTTGTTCTGAAATTTGAAAGTTTGTTCTAAATTCTGAAATTGTACTAGCACTTGTTCTGAAATTGATTATTAACCATTTTGTTTTCTAGAAGGTGCAACTGATCGGGATGAGGCTAGAGTTATTGTCTGGTTGCTACAGTGGTTACAGATTTTGTGCATAAGTTAAGCTGAAACTCTAGTTAGAATGAGTACTTAACTTTTAGGAGTAATGTTGTTCAAGTTCTGAGCGATTGAAGTTATGAATATAATCTGAGTATAATTTGTTGCTCTAGTTGATATTACTGTTGTTAAGTTGTCATCGTTAGTTGCCAATGTTCCTGATGCTAGCTGACTCAACAAAGTTCAGAGTAGCAGGCATGCTACCTTGTTTATCTTGGATTACAGAGACAGGCAAGCAGGTTCAGAGTAACAGTCCATGAATCATTACATTTTTTTTTCAGATGGAGTACTATAGTTCAATTTCTCAACTTTTTCGAGTTATAAGTATAACCTGAATACAATTGATTTGTCCCTAGTTAATTTTACTGAATTTAAATTGGCAAGTGACTGAAGTTAAGTTGTCTATTCTGAACTTGCTCTAGTTCTGATTTTGGTCTAGCACTGTATTTCAATTGATGGTTTATTTTTTTATGTTCTTTACCATGTCTTGTCTATTAAAGACCATGTTTAGTTCCACAGCTAATTTTTTTTTTGAAATATACGGACACACATTTAAAGTATTAAACGTAGACTAATAACAAAACAAATTACATATTCTGCCTGTAAACTGCGAGACGAATTTATTAAGCCTAATTAATCCGTCATTAGCAAATGTTTACCGTAGCACCACATTGTCAAATCATGGCGTAATTAGGCTCAAAAGATTCATCTCGTAATTTATATGCAAATTGTGCAATTGATTTTTTCTTTTTGTCCACATTTAATGCTACATGCATGTGTCCAAACATTTGATGTGACGGAATTTTTGGAAGTTTGAAGGAAACTAAATACAGCCAAAGATGCTCATGTGAGAAAGAGTAGTAGAGTGTGTTTAGTTCACGTCAAAATTAGAAGTTTGGTTGAAATTGGAAGGATGTGACGGAAAAGTTGGAAGTTTGTGTGTGTAGGAAAGTTTTGATGTGATAGAAAAGTTGGAAGTTTGAAGAAAAAGTTTGGAACTAAACTCGACCGTAATTTTTGGATTTTTGAATGTGTCAGCATGTCAGAAGTAATTTTATTTTTTGAATGCTCCGCCGGTCGCCTCCCCACATTTTTATTTTATTTTATTTGTGCTGACTAGGATACGACGTTAGCGAAACCAGACATCTATACTGCCATGGGACCTAAATTAGACGGTGCTGTATACTTTATAGGTGAAGATTTCTAGTAGTGAGGATAAGAGATGTAAAAAAAAAACTCAGTGTAAAGTTGAGGGATAGCAGGTGAACTTATTCCTACTAACAACGTTCGCTCCCGGGCTCCAGGCCGCTTCGTACCTTGGGCCAGATGCCCAGAAAGGTGTTAGGCCGGCCTGTTTCTGATACGAGCGGGCTCCATTGTTTTTGGGCCAGACTTGCCTATTTTACATGGGCCGATCTGTATTTTGTCCAACTTGCGGGTCTATTTTATCTGGGCCGGATCGTGACTGTGACTTGGCCCATACGACGATTCGACAAAGCGCGCGCCCTGTCGCGTCGTCTCCGAATTCGATTCGAAGTCGCACTGCGGTATCGTCGACTCCAACTCGGACTCGGACTCCGCTTCGAACCCGACCCACCGGCCGACGATAACTAGCGTCTCGCTCGGCTCGTCGGCGGCAAATCATTCTCTCTGTTCGCTCGCTGCATTCTGTGCCATGGCTTTCCTCCACTGCACGCCTCCATCCCTCCTGCTCCCGTCGCCTCCGTTCTTTCTCCCGCCGCCGCCGGCTGCTCCCCGCTGCTCCACGGCGCTGTCCCCGTCCTCGCCGCTGTTCCATCCGACCCGGCTGCGCATCAGGTGGGCGCCGCCGCCGGTTGGGTGGTGCAAACTCAACTTCGACGGCAGCGTGTTTAACGATGGCTCCCGGCGAGCGAGCATCGGCGGCGTCATCCGCGGCTGCGACGGCGGCGTCGTGCTGGCCTTCGCCGAGACCACGGAGCACTGGACCGTCGGGGTGGTGGAGGCCCGCGCGCTGATCAAGGGACTGAAGCTTGCGTTGAAGTGCTTCGTGGAGCGGATCGTCGTGGAGGGCGACGACCTGGTGCTGGTCCAGCTGCTGCGCGGCGAGGAGACGCAGACGAGGATCCCGGCGGCCATGCACGACGAGATCCTCTCCCTGCTCCGCCGCTTCACCGAGTTCGAGGTGCGGCACATATATCGAGAGGGGAACTCGGTGGCCCACACGCTGTGCCGGCAGGCGTACCAGGGCCCTGGATTGTGGACGGAGAGAGTGCCGATGCCAGGCGCCGTCCGGGAGAAGATCGACGAGGATTGTCGCGGGGTGCTGCACGAGCGCCTGTGCAAGAAGAACAAGTGACGCCATCGGCATGAAGAAGGGTGGACGCGATCGATGCGGGCGCCAAAGCGATTAAGCGAGTCGAATATTTTTGTTCAAATCGATCGGCTTGGCTTTGTGATTGTTGTAGTTGAACATGTAACTGAAGCTAATTAGTTGGTCCTGTTAGTTGTAGACGTAGATGTTATTTATCATTGGCATTGATGTATTCATTCAATCATTATTATCTAATGATAAAAAGATTAGCATTGCTTTGTTCTTGAACTTGCAATACTTGATTCCGATAAAGAAACCGTTTGTCTTGTGTGTTGTGTTCTGTTGTGATTTCTGCGTCGGGACGGAGCGTGTGGTTGCGCCGTTGCGGTCGTCGGGTCGTGGCTGTTGTCGGGTCAAAGCAAGCGAGAACTCGCCAGCAATAGCGTGTTGCCTGGCTGCGGCGGCCAGAGATGCCGGGGTGGTCTGCCTGCCCTTGGCACTTGCAATCGTGCACATACACAGCGCGCGCGGCGCACTGATTAGGGCGGCGCTGGCGTTGCAATCGGGCTCTCTTTGGGGCTTTGGGCCAAAGCGAAAGGGAGTAGCTGGCGAAGCAGCTCACCTTACTGTGGTCGACGGTGAGACGGCCGGGTGGCGCCCGGGGTCATTCGCGGCTGCATCGTTCACGCGAGTCACTGCGTTGCTTGGTAGGTCTGGCTGACGTACTGGGCTAGGCTGGATAATGCCGAGCAGTCCAACATGAATACAAAAAACACATATAGCATGAAAAAGAGACAAAAATGAATATATTGTGCCAAATTCATAGTATTAACTTTGGTATCAAACCCCAGAAACAGAAAGAACAGAGTTCAGATAAATATGCACAGAGAGCTGGATCTCTGAATGTTCAGACTTGGTTTTACCTCCTGTTGCAGCACTGAATATCTTAAAATTGTTAACTCACTAGTTCAGCTGGCTTCCAATTATCTAAGATTATTCAAGCATTGTCCTATGCATCTCTCTATCTGGTTCCCATTCTTTGCTTTAGCTCCCTCACTGTGGAAAAGAGCAGACAAAATACCCAAAAGTGCCATGCTTTGAAGTTTGAACATGTGGGGATTCAATGTCTCAAAAATTCAGAATTGATGTTTACCTCCCTAATGCAATACTGAAAACTATGATTTGTTGACTCAGTAGTTTTGCTTTCCTAGTAGAGACGATTTATCTAGAGTACATTTGTCCTCCAACATTGATTTCCTCCCTGCCCTTGTTCTGAAAGCTGAGACTGTACTAGTGCTTGTTCTAAATTCTAAAATCATACTAGCATTTGTTCTCAAATTTGAAACTTTAGTACTTGTTCTAAATTCTGAAATTTATGGTTAGAAATTCTTTTTTCGAAGGTGCAACTGTTTTTTGAGATTTGAAGGGAGATAAGTCTCTCCAAATATTTTTTAAGAAGAAATGGTGAGCGTGCTGGAGATTGAGCACTACACTATTAAGCGCATCTCATTCAAAGATGCAACTGATCAAGATGGAAGTGGAGTTGAAACATGGAGGTGGAATTGATCATGATGCCAAGCCCCCTATTCTTATTGCTACAGTGATCAGTGCTTACA